AAAAAAAAAAAAAAAAAAGATAATGTGAACATTACTTCTTACACATCGATGTGTGATAAAAATTTGATGGCAAAAATCTTGAGGTCATAGTCTCTGGCTGACACCTTTAGATTCACATATATGGACTGTCCACCCAGTGGAGCAGAGGATGGTGTTCTTTTATGAGAACTAAAAATGAATGGCCATCCTACTTCTTAGGAGGGAAGGGAGGCTAGTGTTTTCCTCAGAAAACAGTTTTGTGTCCCTTTTAACATACAAATAGATGTGTTAGATCCCAAAGTTTAGTGGTAACATATACCATAGATATGCTTATCATAGAAAAACTTCTAATATGCATATGTTTCAATGGAGTTACTACTAGCAGTTCTTCATGACTATAAAATATTTTTTTTAAAAATTAAAATGTTTCTTTTTCTGTAAGCATTGAAAGTTTCTTGTAAGCCTCCAAGATAAATTAGCTATAAAACATAATTCTGTCTATGATTTCAACTTGCTTTATAGAATTGTTGCATTAAGTAGATGTTTGGGAATAGCTACAAGAATGATTATTTCTGTATTAGTCTAGTTTCTTAAGTCATTTAAAGAAAAGTAAATATCAAATTCAACTATCCATTGAAACCTCTCCTTTAATTTGTTACGATAATATTGCCCTCAATGTGAGAGTGCCCCATGGCATGCAGTTATCTGGAAGTGGTTCTGAGATGTTATGGTACTTGTTAAAAAGAACTAGATTCAGATTTTTATGTTTCATTTTATAGAAATGAAGTAGCAGTTTCTATTGTCATACTTTCGTTGTATTATAAACCACATTTTTGTATATTTTAAGGAATGTAATAGACTATTAAAGAGTCTTAAAAGTATTATTAAATTATGTTTTAAAAAAAATTACAATAGGAAAGAGAGCTGGAAGCAAACAAAAAAGAAAAACTGAAAGAAGCTCAACTTGAAGCCGAAGTGAAATTGTTAAGAAAAGAGAATGAGGCCCTTCGCAGACATATAGCTGTTCTCCAGGCTGAAGTTTATGGGGCAAGGCTGGCTGCCAAGTACCTGGATAAGGAACTGGCAGGAAGGTACGTAGTACTCGGGATGCTTATCCTCTCACGTGACAAACTGGATCAGTGAGGTTGACTCTTACCTCTTGTGGTAATGGAACATTAATCTTTTTTCTCAGAATTGTTTCACAGTTGATTATAGTTTACTGTTGTTAAATTAATATTGACTGCATTATATATTGCAGAGTTATTTACCCATAATAAATAAATATAGTTTACACACACATGCTCTGATGGTAACTTATTGTGAAATGGTAACAACTCTATAGAGCAGCACTTTTCATCTATGTCCAGCCTTGAAACATAACAGGTGATGTTCACAGGTACAGCAGAACTTCCATAAGGAATGTTTTGTGTGATCACAGAAATCCAATCTTTTTGTCACTCAAAGAAACATGTTGGAATTAAGTTAATGACAGTGATTTTGTCACAGTAATACACAGTTCTTCTTGCCTTGATTTTGTTAAGTTATGTATAGTTATAGTTATATATAGTGTCTCACATCTATAATCCTAGCACTTTGGGGTTTTTTTGTTTGTTTTTTTTTGTTGAGACAGAGTCCTATTATGTTGCTCTCAATAGAGAGCTGTGACATCACAGCTCACAGCAACCTCAAACTCTTGGGCTCAAGTGATTCTCTTGCTTTAGCCTCCCAAGTAGCCTGGACTACAAGTGCCCACAACAAAGCCCAGCCATTTTTTTTGTGTGTGTAGTTGTCATCGTTTGGCAGGCCTCGACTGGGTTCAAACCCACCACTACAGTGTATGTGGGTGCCACCCTAGCCACTCAGCCACAGGCACTGAGCCTAATCCTAGCACTTTGCAAGACTAAGGAGGGAAGATCACTTTAGGGCAGGAGTTCAAGTCCAGACTGAGCAATAATAAGACCCCATCTCTACAAAAGATAGAAAAATTAACCAGATGTGGTAACACATACCTGTAATCGCAGCTTCTCAGGAGGCTGAGGCAGGAGGATCACTTGAGCACAGGAGTTTAAGGCTGCAGTGAGCTGTAATGTTGTCACTATGTTTTACTAGACTAGAACAATAGAGAAAAAGACTGTCAAAATAAAATGACATTAAAAAATAATAATAATAGGTTTGGCACCTATAGCTCAAGCAGCTAAGGTGCCAGCCGCATACAGCAGAGCTGGTAGGTTCAGATCCAGCCCAGGCCCACCAAACAACAATGACAACTATAACCAAAAACTAGCTACTTGAGAGGCTGAGGCCAGAGGATCACTTAAACCCAAGAGTTTAAGGTTGCTGTGAGCTGTGACGCTATGGCACTCTAGCTGGGGTGACAACTTGAGACTCTGTCTCAAAAAACAAATAAAAGTAATAATAAAATAGTAAAGGAAAAAGTAAAATAAAATAGTAAAATGAAGTAAAATAAAATATTTTGTAAAAAGAAACTGTCATTAAAAGACATGTTTTCAAACATTTAATCTTCTCCAAAACTAATACTTAACAGTGTCTGAGTTTAATTAGTTACTTGGGTTATATCAAGACACATAATACACATTAATTGATATAATTCATGTTGTTATTTCTATTTAAATATGTTTTTAAGATGTATTTGAATGAATTAAGTATATAACTAAAGGCGTTCTTACTAGTTCCTGTTTTGAAATTTTTTTAAACTGGCTTTCACTTACATGTTTTTTCAGTTTTCATAGATATGAAGTATCTTTGTACTTTGTACCTTCAGAGTAAACCCTTGGGAAACTATGTACTGATGCTAGTGCCTAGTCCACCCCTCAAAGCACTTTTTATAGGATGAGTTCATGAACTCAGTTGTCAAACCTTTGTATATGCATTCCTGCTCTACATCTGTGCCGGCATCTATTGTTCTTGGACTTTTTAATAGAAGCCTTTCTAACAAGGGTGAGGTGGTGTCTTATTGTGGTTTAAATTTGCATTTCTCTGATGAGTAGTGATGTTGAGCATTTTTTCATATGTTTGTTGGCCATTTGTCTTACCTTCTTTGAAAAACTTCTGTTCATGCATTTTGCCCACTTTCTAATGGGGTTATTTTTTTTCTTGCTGATTTAAATTCTTTGTAGATTCTGGGTATTAGCCCTTTATCATAGGTATAATTTGCAATTACAGTAGGACCTCTGTAAGTTGACCACCCAGGAGACTGTAACAAACTTGTTAACACAAGAACTAGGCTTCTTGTACTTAGAGTACATGTGGTACAGGCTAGTCTATAAAAATTAGGCCAACTTAAGGAGATGGTTAATGTAGGGTAGTGGTCAAATGTGGAGGTTCTGCTGTATTTCTCCTATTCTGTAGGTTGTCTGTTAGCTCTGTTGATTATTTCTTTATCTGTGTAAAAGATAAAGCCCATCTATTTATATTTGTTGTTACTATAATTGCCATTGGAGTATTAGTTATAAATCTTTGCCTAGACTTCCTACATTTTCTTCTAGAATTCTTATAGCTTCGTGCCTATGTTTAAGCCTTTCATCCATCTTTAATTAACATAGATGGAATGAGTGATGAGAGTTAGAGGTCCTGTTTCATTCTTCTGCATGTGCATTCTTCTTCACCGTTTGTTGAATAGGGCTTCTTTCCCTGGCGTATGTCATCTGCTTTGTGAAAGATCAGTCGGCTGTAGGTAAGTGGTTTTATATCTGGGTTCTCTATTGTTCCATTGATCTATGTCTCCATTTTTATACAACTACAGTGCTGTTTTGGTTACTAAAGTCTTGTATTATAAGACTACAACTCTTATATCCAGTTTGTTCTTTTTGTTGAAGATTGCTTTGGCTATTCAGGATCTTTTCTGGTTCCAAATAAAGTGTAGAATTTTTTCTTCTAGATCTGTGAAAATATGCCATTGGTGTTTTGATGGGGATTGTAAGTCACTTTGGGTAGTAGAGACACTTTAACACCATTGATTTTGCTGAGCCATGAGAATTAATATGTTTTTCCATGTGTTTATGTCATTTGATTTATTTCCTCAGTGTTTCATAGTTCTTGTAGTAGAGATCTTTCACCTCTTGGTTAAGTATATATCTAGGTATTTTATTTTCTTTGTAGCTGTTGTTAATGGTATTAAGTCCTTGATTTGACTCTCAGCTTGACTGTTAATTGGTGTATAGAAATGCTGCTGATTTGTGTATATCGATTTGGTAACCTGATACTTCACTAAATTTTTTTATTAATTCAAGAAGTCCCTTGGTGGAGTCTTTGGGTTTTCTTGATTCAAGATTATATAGTCAGCAAAAAGTGATACTTTGGCTTCCTCTTTCTCAAATTGGATATCCTTTATTTCTTTCTCTTAACTGATTGCTATGGCTAGGACTTTCACCATTATGTTGAATAAAACTGATGATAGTGGGCACCCTTGTCTTGGGGTTCTAGTTCTTGACGGGGGGATGCTTTAACTTTTCAACCACAGTATGATGTTCGCTATGGTTTTGTCGTGTATGGCTTTTACTATTTTGAGATATGTTCCTTCTATACCTAGTTTGTTAAGGATTTTTATCATGAAAGGGAGCTGGGTTTTGATGAATGCTTTTTCTACATCTATTGAGATGATCATGGGGTCTTTTTTTTTTTTTGCTTCTTTTTATGTGGTAAATCACATTTACATATGTTGAATCATCCTTGCTTCCCTCAGATGAAGCCCACTTGCTCATGGTAGATTATTTCTTGATAAGTTGTTGAATTCAGTTTGCTAGTATTATACTATTGAACATTTGTGCATCTATATTCATAAGAGATATGTTTTATAGTTTTCTTGTTGTCCTTTCCTGGCTTTGGTATCAAGGTGATACAGGCGTCAAGTCTCTCATGGGGTGATTTCTACCAAAATCTTGCTCCTTCTTGTTCTGCTCAACAGATTACTATGGACTCTCTGGTAGGTCTGGCACTTATCCCTCAGACTTAACACCTGTGCTTTGTTTTCTTTTCAGCTAAGACTTTTCCTTCTTTCTGAGGCAATTTGGCAAACGTTGTCTCTAGTCAGCTATCTTGCCGCCTCCTATGATCCCTCTTTTTAAATATGAGGGACATCAGGAAGTTCCTGAGTATTGGTTTTATTACTAATTGAGATTTATGCAAAAGCTGCTTAGGTTCAGTATTCTGCCAAATTCTCTGTAGAGTAAGCATAGTGAAAATCCAACTAACTGAACTCTTTTCCCAACGTGAAGGGTCCAGCAAATACAATTACTAGGACGCGATATGAAGGGACCTGCTCATGATAAGCTTTGGAACCAGTTAGAAGCTGAAATACACTTGCACCGTCACAAGACTGTGATCAGAGCCTGCAGAGGACGCAATGACTTGAAGCGACCAATGCAAGCCCCACCAGGCCACGTATGTTTGCCTTGTCACTGCTTCCTGCTCAGCCTCCTCCTCCTTTCTTTAACCACAGGGTTTTCCATTCTTTCTTTTATTCTAGTGGTGTTTGAAACCTTTATTTTAAAAGTGGAAGTGAGATTCAACTTTTTCAAAATAGAGACATATTTTAAGTTTCATAGAAATTTTAGTAGCTCTTCACAGACTTACTAATGCAGAAAAATGATGTTTTGCAGACAGTGAAGCTTGCCTACCAAATATATGTTGCTAGTCCTTTAGATCCTGTTTCAGAATGTTCCAGGACCATGGTGGAACATGTTTGAATTGGTTTTAAGCTTAACTGATAGCATATGATCATACTAATGATTTGGCAAATACTTTGGGCTAGTTCTTTAAGGGAATTTTTGGTAACTAAGTCCAAATGTAGAATTCTGAACTAACATTTACACCTGTTTGGTCTTGGATTAAGATGGAATTTGAGATCTGTGTCCTCTTGTGTACTTCTATAACTACCATTGCATAGGAGCTTTCCTTTCTATCTGGATAAATCTTTATTACATTTTATTACAATATCTGCTTAATAATACAGACCTTAACATATGAAAGCATGTTTCTTACCCAGTGGATCACACCTTAGTAACCAGATAACCTATCACCATAGATAGTAAAATGGTTTGTTGCCTGTGCTAAGATCATTGTAAGATTGATACATGCTTAGAGTTGGTGGAATAGGAGTGGGGGTTTCCATAAGCACTTATGCCATTGTCTTCTCCAGGACACTGGTGGTTCCATTAACTTCTAGGTACAATAGATTTGGGAAATAGAGAGTTTAGGAAGAAGACATGGTGCTTTGTACCAGGTGTGTCTGAGTGATAAATGCATGCTTATGAAAGTAGCTAAACGTGAAGCTCAAGTTTTATGTAATGGTTGGGTGGCAAAAGTTATTTTGTACTAAATAAAGGAGTTTCAACTTTAACCGGGTAATCATGGGACTTCTAAATAAAATAGCAGACTTAATAAGATTTACATTTTTTGACAGTTACTTTGGCATAGTGAAGAGGATATATTGGAAGAGGGCCAGATTGGAGTCGAGGAGGTATGTTAGAAGGATACTATGGTAATCTAAGAAGAACGTGACAAAGGCAGGGAAAGTGGCATTTGAAAGGAATGACAGGTTTGAGAGAACTGGAAGTAGAAGGACTTTTTTGTGACTGACTGCTTTTGGTTAAGTAGATGAAAAGGAAGAGTCTAGGGTTTTGGTTTGAGGAGTTGAATGAGATCTGGCATTTCCATTAATAAAGGAAATAGAGGAAAAGAAAGGTTTGGGAAAAGATGATGAGATCAGTTTAAGACATGTAGTATTTGAGGTACCAATGGAACATCTGAGATGCATCCATTTGGATATGTGATTCTAGAACTCAGAAGAAAATTCTGAGTTGAAAAAGAAATCATCCATCTATCGTAATTGAAACCATAATATTGAATGAGTCACCCAGGGAAAGAGTATAAAGTAAAAAAGAAGAATAGGAGGCCAAAGATAGAAACTTAGGGAACGAGGGCAGGAAAAGCATCACCAAAGGAAGGAGTCTGAGTCGGAGCTGTCAGACCTGCTCAGGCCACCTAGGAAAGTCATGTAATAGAAACCAGGGGTGAGAGTGGGTTTCAGGATGGGGTAGAGTTGATAGTGTTAACTTTCAAGTAAGTTAATGATAAACATGTTGATTGGATGTAGCAATATTTGTTGCCAGGGATCATAGAGAAGAAAAACCCAATTATACAGCTAGGGGAAAAAACCTACATTACAGAGATCAGAGTGCTGAATGTGGGTGGCCAGGAAGTAGATGTGGTGAGGATGGACTTGGCAGGTAAGGAAAGGGGGAGAAGAGGATAGTTGTTAAAGAAGATGTGAAGGATCTGACGCGTTTTTTTGTTTTGTGTTTGAAACATAGTCACTATGTTAAAGCCAGGAGAGTCTTGGAATTTTTTATCCACTGAGTAGAAAAGGAGTTTAAAAGAGAAGGAAAGAGCAAAGGTACCAGAAAAAGAATTATTAATGGAGTAAGGTCCTTTATTTAAGAGATAGACTCCAGAGCATCGGAAAATGAAGAAGTAATTAGTAGTCCAATTGGAATTTTTCCAACTCTTCAACTCAATTAAAATGATTACAAATTTTTAAGATATTTTCTAATTAAGATAGTTACTGACTTAATTTCTTGAAGATATTTGTTCATCAGTTAATTCTTATCAGTAGTTTCTTTTGTAATTCCAACAATTTAAAAGATGTATCAATATTTTAAAAAATTATAGGCAAAGAGGTAGGAAAGTCATCTAAAAATTTCACTCAACTAACAGAATAACTATTTTCATTTCTCTGTTTTATCTATTAATTATTTTGTTAACACTGCATGAGTATCCTTTCCAAGAAATTAATGTAGATTTCTAAAAGCAAGTTACGTAGCATGTGTTTACTCTATTTTATATGCTATTTAAGTGATACTAATTTCTCTTCTTCCCTCCATAAGGATCAAGATTCCTTAAAGAAAAGCCAAGGGGTTGGTCCAATTAGGAAAGTTCTCCTCCTTAAGGAAGATCACGAAGGCCTTGGCATTTCAATTACAGTAAGAAGTAGTGCTTCCAGTCTCCTTTTCTGTAGTTTCTTGTATAATTATCACCTTTGTTGAACATCATTTGAAACAGAGTATTCTGAATAGATAGTTTTTAATAATTAAATTTATCCCTATAAGGCTGGGTGTGGTGGTTCACAGGAGGCTGAGGAGGATGGATTGTCTGAGCTCAGGAGTTTGAGACCAGCCTAAACAGAAGGAGACCCCGTCTCTACTAAAAATTGGAAAACTAGCCGAGCATTATGGCAGGCGCCTGTAGTCCTAGCTACTTGGGAGGCCAAGACAGGAGGATCACTTGAGGCCAGGAGTTTGAGGTTGCTGTGAGCTAGGACACCATGGCATTCTGTCCATGACACAGAGTGAGACTCTATCCCAAAAAACAAAATAAAATAAATTTATCCCTATGGGCACCAACACTTTTCACGTAAACCTGTTTTTTTGTTTTTTGTTTTTTGTAAATCTTCCTAACACTGTTAAGTGTGCCTTTAGTACACATAGCTTACCATTTTTGTTATGACTGGCTACATAGTTCTATACCTGTGATGCCTCTGGGAGCCTTTGGGAATAGATGCGGCTGTTTTCTGTGGTAAATGGCTCCAGATTGTGTTATTCTTCCCTCTAGAGTGTGTGTTATTTTTCTCTTGTCTCATTTCTTTTTTTATTTTTTTAGTGACAGAGTTTTACTTTGTCACCCTCAGTAGAGTGCAGTGGCATCACAGCTCACAGGAACCTCCAACTCCTGGGCTCAGGCGATTCTCTTGCCTTGGCCTCCCAAGTAGCTGGGACTACAGGCGACCGCCACAACGCCTGACTATTTTTTGTTGCAGTTTGGCCAGGGCGGGGTTTGAACTCGCCACCTTTGGTATACGGGGCCGGCGTTCTACCCACTGAGCCATAGGCGCCACCCTCTTGTCTCATTTCTTAGCTGTCAGGTTTCACTAGCTTTTGGACCAAAATACTATATATTCTTTTTTTTTTTAATTTGATGCCTTTAGAAATGGTTGTTTTAGACAACATCCCTGAGAGCAGTCTACTATAAGGTACAAATATTTGGAGTCAGTCAGTTATAGTCTCAGTGCTTTACTGAATAAGGTCAGCTTTATTTTAATTTGCATTTGGTAATAGTTAGGCACTGTGTATATTTATTTGAATTCTGGTATTGCTTACTCTAGAAATGTTTTTTATAATACAGTTTATCTAATATATATTCATTGAATACCTACATTTTTGTAATGCACTGCCCTCAGAGAGCATAAATTTTAGCAGGAGAAATAAGACATACACATGGCTCACGCACATATGAAACTGTGATATGAGGTAGAGAGTCATCGGTACCAAGTACTGTGTTTCTTCAATTCTACATTGCATGTTTTCTTACATTTTAACTTCTCGTACAATCTTACAATTATTTTTGTGGTACATAAAATAATTTATCTTACTATTCATGGTGATATAGATTTGACAAAGTATAATGTCAAAGTATAATATAAGTTATAAATATAATGGTCTGTGGAGTACTAATTTGTGTTTATTTATATTCAAGAGTTTAGCCAGTTTGCCCTTTAATAATGATAACAATAATTTATTTATCATTACCTCAGTAGTAAATATAATTCACCCAGCATTTATACAGTACAGATGCCTATTGAAAGTGATGTTTTAGAAAATATTTTATCTCTAGAATCACCTGTAACTGTACTTTACAAAGAGTAAACTAATGTACTGCCTTTTGTTGTTGTCAGGGTGGGAAAGAACATGGTGTTCCGATCCTCATCTCTGAGATTCATCCCGGGCAACCTGCTGATCGATGCGGAGGGCTGCATGTTGGGGATGCTATTTTGGCAGTCAATGGAGTTAACCTAAGGGACACAAAACACAAAGAAGCTGTAACCATTCTTTCCCAGCAGGTAAATTCCCTTCATGTATTTAAAATTGGATCTATGAATTGGTTCTTTTTGAATCTATTGAATACTTTATATCTCCCTACAGGGTTTCTCAAGTAGTAAAGTCTTTATAGAAAGATACTCGTTTCCTTTGATTTAGGCAGGACTTTTGTAGATGACATTCAGTAGGATTTACTGAAAATGAACCATTTTGTTTATTATTCTTGCATAACTTGGAGCAAATTACTTGAGTCACCTGTGCCATAGCATCATCTGTGTGGTGGGATTAAAACAGAGCTGTGAGGTTCAAGCATGTTAATACATATAAAGTCCTTGGAATACAACCTCACACGTGGAAAGCAATGTCAATGATGATTAAAGCATAGTATATACTTTACTTTTTTTTTTTTTTTAATTGTTGGGGATTCATTGAGGCTACAAGAAACCAGGTTACACTGATCGCATTTGTTAGGTAAAGTCCCTCTTACAATTGTGTCTCGCCCCCAAAAGGTGTGTCACACACCAAGACCTCACCCCCCTCCCTCCTTTCTTCTCTCTGCTCTTCCTTTCCCCCACTCCTCCCTCCTCCTTTCTCTCTCTATAAAGCATAATATATAATATATGTATGTGTTGTACATATGTACTGAGTATAAAGTATTGCAGAAAAGACAGTACTAAAAGTGAATTGATTTTAGTCATAGAATATTTGAACTGAAGGGATCCTTAGAAATCATCTAGCCTGACTCTCTTATTTAAAATGAGTAAATTAAGGTTCTTGGAGACTAAAAGATTTATTCAAAGTAAGCCAAGAATTGAGATTCATATTCAAGAGTCATATCTGTTATCCAGTGTACTTAAAATGTTGTGTTTATTTTCCTTCAAGAATAGGGGTGAGGGAATTAGAGAGGTGTTGGTAGTTTATTGAGGTGTTTCTTAGATCATTAGTGTTGTATGCCTGTGTAGAATTTAACCTGAGAGTTGAAAGTGAATTTGTAGTTCATCAGTTGAACTCTACATGATGCATAAATCTCTGCAATGTCACTACTTAAATAATTGCATGGTGGGAGGACTCACTTTTTGATGATCAAGTATTCTATTCCTTTGGTGTACAGTGGCGATTTTTAGAAGCCTTTCCTCCTATTAATCCTGAAATCTGTGTCTCCATGACTGCTATTCACAGGTCTGATTCTGTCATCTAAATCTTTACTAAAAACTGGATCGTTCTTCTCTCTTTACTAGATGGTATTTTTGGCATTGTCTGACAGAGATCTAAGAATGCTACCCTAGGCTCTTAAGTTAGTGTTTTCTCAGCCCAACTTGCCATTCATCCAGTAGCACAACTGGATGAATTACTTGAGTAAGTTGCTTAAAGTTGTGGGATAACTGTCAGCCGTCCTAGAGGAGCTGCCAGTGGATAGTTGTAAATGCTAAGCACCTGTTAATTCTGAGGTATAACCTTAAACTGCTGGGAAAGGGAAGCACCAAAGAGAGTAACTTAGTGGGTAGCTGTCAAAGTGGTATACTTTCTTTTGAACAAAAGCAGGACATTTCCAGAGAGTTGCAAACCCCAGACTTGTTGGTATCGATTGCAGTCTCTTATTAAATAATAATTGCGGCTTGGAATTTTCTTTTTACTATACAACAGTGTGTAACTTATTACTTGAATGTCCATTTGTTAAAGAAGGACAAAACAATTACACATTTAGTCTATTACAGTAGAAAGATCAAGAACTTTGGAGTCACATTTCCGTTTTCCTGCATTCTTGTTTATCACTTCACCAAAGTTGTCTGCTCTCTCCCGGATTCATTCAGTTGCTCATTCACGTAAAATAGACTCTAACAGGGTTATTCTGAGGATTAAAGGCTATAATTTTGCACAATAAGTATAGTAACTATGATTAACACTAGACAGAATACCTTTATTAATGCTGTGGTACTTGGTGAAATTTAAAAAGATTCAAGACCTATTCAGTAAGAAAAAAGGAATTGTCATATAGGGGTTTCTTGAGTTAGTTTAGGAAAAGGTTGTGCAGTACCCTTATGTGCTAGATTATTTAATAGCTGACTATTTGGATGGATTTGCTAAATTGCTATGTAAAGTACAAAATGGCAGAATGACTTTAAACTGGAGACTTGTTCCAAAATTCTATAAATTTAATAAGTATGTTTTTAATTTTAGATAGATTGGCAAAAATATTATGATCAGTAGAAAGAACTATGATAATGTTTAAAGGAAATTATTTGTAGAGGGGATTGATAGAGTTGCTCTGAACATAATGACCTCTCAGGCCCATTCTAACCTCTTTAGATTCTAGAATTGCATTATTTTTGTTGTCTGGAAAGACTTATCTGAAGTCTCCCTACTCATAAGCCTCCCCCCATAGTTTGGAAATCTTTTTTTAGTTACGGTAACAATAACTTGACTTCCTCATTTTCATTTCCTTTTTAGAGAGGAGAGATTGAATTTGAAGTAGTTTATGTGGCTCCTGAAGTGGATTCTGATGATGAAAACGTGGAGTATGAAGATGAGAGTGGACATCGTTACCGTCTGTACCTTGATGAGTTAGAAGGGGGCAGTAATCCTGGTGCTAGTTGCAAAGATACAAGTGGGGAAATCAAAGTGTTACAAGGTAAAAATAACTCTAAAAATTATTACTTTATTAATTTTTAATAAATTATTTGAAATATATAAAAGCCTCAGATGTTTTTCAGTCACACTGCCTTATGATGGGGAAACCAAAGGAATGAATAGTTTTCCCTTGCTTACACCGTTATTATACTCGAGTAACTGTGCTAACGTTTTATTTACATGTTTTACTAGATTGATCTTTGATTATTAAGTGCATTACTAGTTACTCAACTATAAATGATCCTTGAAAACTAAATAAAATTCAATTTTTCTAGACTCTGAAACAAAGACAACATGCTATTTCGAGTAGACATATCATATTGTAAGTCTTTCTGTCTTAAAGGTAAATTCTTCTCTCATAATATTGATACAATGAATTATAGACTAAGTATGAATGAGAATTGAAGCCGTTGTCTTAGGAGTGCTATTAGAACCAGGTTGTATTATCTTGAGGATCTTTGGTTTGGTTCTTTTGCTATCATTTATATACATTTGAAGGAAAAAAATTACCATTTTCTTTTATATAAGAGTACCAATTCTCAAATTGTGATCCATGAATCCCTGAGGGTCCCTGAGATCTTTCAGGGGAGCCTATGAGGTAAAAATGTTTCATAATAAAACTAAGACATCATTTGTCTTCTTTTGCTGTGTTGTTATTTATACTGATGGTACAGAAACATTGAGGTAAAATTTCTGGTGCCCTAGCATGAATCAAGGCAGTGGCACCCAACTGTACCTAGTAATCATTGTTTTCTTTCTTGTTATCCATTATAATGGTAAAAAGAAGAATATGCCAGTTTCACTTAAGAATATTCTTTTCGGGCTTAGTGCCTGTAGCACAGTAGTTATTGCACCGGCCACATACACCTAGGCTGGTGGGTTCGAACCTGGCCCTGGCCAGCTAAACAACAATGACAACTGCAACAAAAAATATAGCTGAGCATTGTGGCGGGTGCCTGCTAGTCCCAGCTACTTGGGAGACTGAGGCAAGAGAATCACTTAAGCCCAAAAGTTTGAGGTTGCTGTGAGCTGTGACTCTATGGCACTTTATCGAGGGTGACGTAGTTGGACTCTTGTCTCAAATAAATAAATATTCTTTTGGGGTTTTTTTTTGTTTTTTGAGACAGAATCTAACTTTGTCACCCTCGGTTGAGTACCCTGACATCATAGCTCACTGCGGCCTCAGACTCCAGGTCCTCCCAAGTAGCTGGATCTATAGGCACCCGCCACAACACCTGGCTATTTTTTGACATGGAGTCTCGCTCTAGATCAGGCTGGTCTCGAACTGTGAGCTCAGGCGATCCCTGGGCCTCGGCCTTCCAGAGTGCTAGGATTACAGGCGTGAGCCACTGCTCCTGGCCTAAAAATATTCTTCATGTAACAGTAGAAGTTGTTGTATTAAATGTTGACTTTGAGTACATGTTATTTCAATATTCTGGTGAGGTCGGAAGGAAGCATAAAGCATTTGTTTGCATACTGAACAAAGATACTGGGCTCAAGGAAAAGTACTTAAGTGACTAAATTACTAGCTGAACTAGTCATTTTTTTCATGGAAGGCAATTTTTACTTGAAAGAATTACTGAAAAATTACTGTTATTCAGACTATTTGGCAGTCATTTTCTTAAAAATGAGCATAATTCATCACTTCAAGGAAGATAACTGACAGTATTATTGCCAGTGTTAAAAATGTGAGCTCTCAAGTAAAAACTAGAATTTAGTAAAACATGTATTAGTTTTGTGAGCTTGACAGCTTCCCAACACCTAAGAACTTTTCTAATGAGATTGATGGTGATATTAATGAATATTGGTTTTTTGATAGAATAAAATGAACTGTGTCAACTTTTGAACTTGCTGCATGACTTGGTAATACAAAATTTTTCAGATGACCAGTGCATAATGTTACAAAATTGTTAATGGGTAAAAGATCCATTCAAACTGCAAGATAGCAAATAGATTATAACAGTGTGTGAGAAGTTCATTGATAAGGGTTCAAATTTCACATTGTCAGATTTTGGTTTAATACCAAAGAAGAATATTGACTGTTATTTGAAAAGGCTGTTAAAATACTCTTCCCTTTCCCAACTACTTATCTGTGTTAGGTTCAACAACTTACGTATGTGAAGGTGAACTTTCTTTACTGTTAACAGATGGCGCAGAAGTAGATAGGAGAATCTAGTTATCCTCTATGCAGCCATCAAGGAGATTTGCAAATTTCTAAAGTTATGCTGCTGACTAAAATTTTTTTCTTTGGAAAATAGAGTTATGTGTCATTAAATAAATATGTCTTTCTATTAACATTTATTGAATTTATTGTCATTTTTAACAAAGTAATTTTTTTAGATTTCTTAGTTTTAATTACTAATTTGAGAAATATCAATAGCTATAACCCACATAAACAAAAGCTCTTTGGAATTCTCAGTGCTTATTAAGAATGTGAAGGCATCTTGAGATCAAAAAGTTGGGAGAACTCTGAATATAGTTTTATGGTGTGACCTGTTACCCTCAGTAAACCAGTGTGTTATGAATGGTCTACACAAAGATAGCAGTAGCAGTTGTTCTCCTCTTGCATCTTGAGCAAAACTATTGTAACAATATATCAAAACATTATGTGGTTAGGCACCTGGCTATATACAGTTTCATTGTATTGTGCCCTTTTTGCTGTATGCTGTCAGGATTAGAAAACATGTCCCTTTCTTTTTTGCAACTGAGACTAGAAGCCTTCTCTTGTCATCCATGCAGACACTTAAAATGTGACTTAAATAACCAGTAATCTATGCTTATATGATACATTGCTGTTGACTGACTCAAGTCAAAAATGTATCTATTGGTTATTGTTTAGCACATGTCTGTAGCTAACTACATAGGTGTTGTAGCTAATATTGATTTACAAACCTATTATCTGTTTTGTAGATTGACTTAAATTTTAGCTAGATATCATTTTGGCAACACAGACAAACCCACAGCTAATATTTTACTGAATGTTGTAAAATTGAAAACTTTCCACTTAGAACTGGAACCAGACAAGGTTGTCTTCTATCGCCACTACCATTCAACATAGTGCTGGAAGTTCTAGCCAATACAGTTAAGCAAGAGAAGGAAATAAAGGGCATCCAAATGGGAGCAGAGGAGGTCAAACTCTCCCTCTTTGCTGATGATGTGAGCTTATACTTAGGGAATCCCAAAGACTCAACCACAAGACTCTTGGAAGTCATCAAAAAATACAGTAATGTCTCAGGATATAAAATCAATGTCCATAAGTCAGTAGCCTTTGTATATGCCAATAACAACTAAGATGAGAGGTAATTTAAGGACACAGTCCCCTTCACAATAGCTTCAAAGGAAATGAAATACCTAGGAATATACCTAACAAAAGAGGTGAAGGATCTCTAAAAGAAAATTATGAAACCCTAAGAAAAGAAATAGCAAAAGATATTAACAAATGGAAGAGCATACCATGCTCATGGCTGGGAAGAATCAACATTGTTAAAATGTCTATACTTCCCAAAGCAATCTACCAATTCTAAGCCATCCCTATTAAAATACCAACATTGTACTTTCAAGACTTGAAAAAAATGATTCTGTGTTTCATATGGAACCAGAAAAAACACCGTATAGCTAAGGCAGTTCTTTTTTTTCTTTTTTTAAATTTTGCACTAAGGCAGTTCTTAGTAATAAAAACAAAGGTGGGGGCATCAGCCTACCAGACTTTAGGCTGTACTAAATAGTGGTCAAAACAGCATGGTATTGGCACAAAAATAGAGACATAAACAGCACATAGATTTTTAGTGATCAATTAGTATGTGCCTGTGTGAAGCAAAGTTAAATGAAGTGTTATGAAAGGAAAAATATAAAATAAAAATGTGATTCATAATTCAGTAGATATTTGTGCAATATAAGTAAAATTGAATTTTACTGTTATACCTATCAATTCTAAGTTTCATAGAAAACTTGACAGGAAATTTAATATAATTTTTAGATAAGTCTAATAGATATTTTAAAATCTATACAGTATTTGATATCTGCCATAACAAGGAAGAATTCTCATTACTTTATAGTGGACATTCCTTTGGTATTTTTGCACAGTTAAAGTATAAAACTAAAGTTTTTTTTAGATCAGAAAGTATCTGCTTCTCTTCTTTTCCTTTCTTTCAGGATTTAATAAGAAGGCAGTAACTGATGCACATGAAAATGGAGACCTGGGAACTTCGAGTGAAAATCCTCTAGATGATAGTGCTTCGAAATTAGATGATCTGCACAGTCTGTATCATAAAAAATCCTATTAAATTGACTGTATCTCCAGACGAGATTGGTAATCAGACTATTCTGAATTTGGGGCACTAAGGCAGATGGTGACAAAGATGATACAAGATCAAGGGAGGCTGGTTTTTGCCTAAATGAAAGGAGGGTACCTCAGGGCTTCATGTGAACAATTCTAAATGCGAACCCCTCCCCCCTGTTTTCTGTGATATACCATAATTAGCTATTGCATGTAAAGCAATTTTGATTTTCTTAAAATTGTAAGCACCAAAGCATGTGTTTCCCAAAGGGGTATGACTAGGCTATTAAGCACCAAATGGAACACTACTGTTTTATTTGGCACGTTTTCCATTGTAGGACAGTGCTAACTGGAATTTTATAAGAAATAACCTTTAAATACAGAGAGTAAGTGAATTCCTGTTATATATTTCTGAATGTTAACTGTGGTGTTTCAGAGGACAGAACTTTACTCAGTGAATTGCAGAAATGTAGGCATATTTTTTTCCCCCCACTGGAAGAACAGTTGTAGGCTTGTTTAAAAAAACTTCATTGTGCATCCTGATACCTAAATTAATTCTTAATGATCATTTGTTGAAATGAGTTTGCCTTTCCACTTTATTCAATGCAATCCAAAATAGTTTTCTTTAAGCAATCTTTTATCAATCAGTGCTGCACTAGAAATAGTTTCTGAAAAGTTACTGTACATTTAACTTTTTGGTTTTTGAAAGAAATAGAGAAGGGGTAAAAATATCTGTTCTCAATTATGTTGATCCGTGCATGGTGTGGGAGCTTTTACCCATTAATGTTTAGTCTCAAGTGCTTATTTTCTGGGATCCATGAAGGTCTTACACATTGTGAGTTGTAAAGTTTGTCTTGTGATAGTACTGGCACTTAAAGATAAATTTTGCTGAAAGTAAAAGCTCAAATTTATTACTATGTCATAAAATACATTGCATTCAAACAGTGGTTTTCTCTCTTAGTAGCTAATTCACCCATCTAAAAAGCTGGGGGCAAAGGTGGGCAACATGAGGTGAAGGCGTTTTGATGTGGTACTTGTTTGGTTGGGTTTTCATGTCAGTGTATGTTTGACTAAAGTACTTTTCATATGCAAACTATGAATTTGCTAATTCTCTTACCCCAGGAGTAAGCATAGAGTGCCTCCTCTCTTTTTCACTGTTCTGCAGGCCCTTATCCCCTGCTGGGCAAAGTCAAAACCTTGCATTTCAAGAGGTGATAGTTTTGCTAATATCACTGTCTTAAAGGATATATATGGAAGGGACTAGTAAGTGGGAGAAAGCCTACTAGGCTTTTAGAATATTACCAGTATCTTCATTTGTAGCGTACAGATGTTCTATGATAAAACACGTTTTCTTGTCTTTCCCAGATGCACTATATATTTGTTGAAAGGTAAAATCTATAATATGTATATACTTTATTTTGTGATTTGCTATTTATAAATGTAATGTCTTAACTGTTGCTCATTTATGGTTTGTTTTGGGTGGGTTTGTTCATCTGTATATCACCTTGTTAATTTGTGATAGAAGCACACTTCTTAGTGTATATTGGTACTGATATTAAAATACATTGTAACATAACGTTGCCTCTAAGCAAAAGCTAGTATTTAATTGTACAAATGATAAGCAAGGTACATGTGATTGTTTGCTCTTGACAGGGTGGGCCTCTTAAAAGAAAAAATTGTTCCGTATGCATTCGCCCATGCCAAGCACATACGAGGGCTGTCCAGAATGTATCCAGCCACACGTGTCTCTGTTTTTCTTCCTACATGTCTGGGTACTTTCCGGACAGCCCTTCAATACCCCATGCATGACACGAGATTTGCAAACTGGATTTTAGCCACTGGATTTGTTTAGTCAAAAAAATTTCCATAGTAGCAGGTCTGAAAATTTCTTTGCTTTGACATAAAACTATATTCTTCTTCTTAAAACACAGCCTGGCATGGAATGACCATGACATTTTTTTTCAGAGATTATCCTTTATCTACTATGATTGAATCCTTAGAAAATGTAAGCTACTGCTATAACATTTTGATTTTTAAGAACTACCTAATAAATGTATAAAAAAGGGTTTTTTAGAACCTTGAATTGAAATTTTGTGAGGTTGCTATGTTATTTGAGGGGTTGTATGAGATGGTTACTCTCAAGGGCTGATAAATAGAATGAAAAGTGTTCCGAGTAGTTTAAAATTCTGCAGGTCACCTTCCTTTTCAGTCTTGCATCACCTGCAAGCCTACAGGAGACACTGTTGCTCAGAGGCTACTGTGAGTTTCCCGTTAGGTGTTGTAAAAGGAACTTTTAAACTAGGTACTTTCTAACGCCTAACTAAGGCGTTAGAGGATGAACTAAAAATTACAGACTTTGGGGATGAACTAAGAATTATGACTTTTTCCAAAGGACTAAGAACAAACCAGTTTTAATATTTTCACATTTACAGGAAAGAAACTAACACTAAAGCTTCTAGAATAAAGCCAAACAGATAAGGAGAAAACTGTTGTAAAACCATTCCAATGAAAAAAGGAAAGACAAATACACCCATGCATACAGAAACACAACAGTTGAGAAAATATTTTAATGGGACATGAGGGGGGTGTGTGTATGTGTGTGTGTGTATTTACACTTAACTTCTAACATTCTCTTCTGAGGTGTCTGTTATCAATGTGATAGAAAAGAAACATTGGGGTTGAGGGACTGTTGTTAAAAGAGGTGTAAGAAAGATGAAACTTCTGTGAGTCTTGGAAATCATAATGGAACAGTCATCAGAAATTAGCACATTTTGTCTATGGTGCTGGTTTTTCCTCACCACAGTGAATTTATTTTGTTTTTGTGTTTAGAAAAAGATATACTGGTTCATGTGTGAATTGTACATTATTGGACATCCTTTTTATGTAGTATGTTATTCCCACCTATTCAGTCTTCCTGTTATGGTCAGCTTCAAATCTACAGCATTTATGACAAATGTATTATATCTAGTTACGTTGAGTTTAATATTTTTTATTAGCCTGTAAATAAATAAAGATGGCATCGTCCACGTTAAAATGATATTAATCTCATTTTTTAATAAACATTTCGTGTTTCTTTTACATTAAATATTTTGGTTTATTATTTATTTCTAATAGCTTCTGTTATTTGTACCAATATGTCATACAGTTCATGCAAAGGATATAACTTAATTTTTTGTTATAAATATTGACAGCTGATGTTATCTATGGAGGTAGTATTGATAAAAATTAGAAAACCAATAGAGATGATATTTAAGAGGCTACTCTTCCACTATAATGTATAAATAAATATAAATATTTAAATATGTTTTTACATATAAGTAAAATTATGTGTAAAATAAATTTTATGAAACATCAATTAATGTAAGTCATATTTCAGAAAATGACTTGAGTTGTGAACATTTAGAGATACATTTTGTGACTAACTTTGATTTCGTGCTAATACATATATGCTTTCTGTGTGTTAATTTCCCAGTTCCCCATGTCATTCGAAACAAGTCTATTCTCCAGAACTTATTGTCCCCATAGGATATTGTTCAACTTACAAATGACTTGCATTTCCATTGGTTTTGATTTTTGTTCTTTTATTATTTTGCACCGCTGCCTCTCAAAGTGCCACCATGCCCAGCTCCATTTTCATTGTTAATCAGTGTTCTATTTTAGGTAGTTTTATTTATAAGAATAACCTTTAAGTTAAAAGTATTGCAAATTGCCATGTGCTGCTGGTGCTAAATATTTGCTTAATAATAAATCTTTTTCAGGTATCTTTTGAGAGCCATAAGGGTCGCAGCCATGAGAATGCATCTCTCAGTTCTCTTGCAGGAGGGAGCCTGGCTTAGTGAGGGCCCAGCTGCTGTGCTCTGGAATCCATCCCTGCGTACCTACTGAAGCTGAGCTTCTCCATGCTGCTGCTAGCCAATGACTGATCATGACAGAGACTCCCTGACTTTAGCTGAAGGACTCCCTGTGGTTTTTCTGAACCCTGTTAGGGGTACAGCGTAGTCTGAGTTGCTTTCACCCAACCTTCCTTCCTCCTTTCATACCTATACTGTGGTCTGTTTCCTCCTAGTTTCCCACCAGCCCCAACTCCCTACCTATTTTTCCTCACCAGAATTGTCTTTTATTTAATAAATCTTTTGCACAGTGAATGCCTTTGGTGTTGGTGTCTGCTTCTAGGAGAACCCAGACTAATACAAATGGACAAGTGAAATCTGAGGAAACAAGTAATAACATGGGGATATTAAGAACTGGCTCATCTCCCATTCAAAGGATAAAGTGGTTGATAAGTGGAGTTCATATAGTCCTTGACACAGGTTATGACTTGGTTTCTAGATATTTCACAGATGGTAGGTAGAAAAGAATAACATAGCAGGCCTGAATCTGTTGTCTTTAGAAAGGGCTGTTTGTGAGGTTGGCCCTAACTGTGGTTTACTGTGCCCGAAATGTTTGTCGAAATGATAGGGTTTGTGTGAACACCTACTTTCCTCTGGAACTCTGGAATTTTGGTACAAGCTAGGTAGAAGGTACTTACGTGATTAACGCCTTCTAAAATCTGGACTTGTAGGCTCAATCAGGCAAGCTTCCCTGATGAGCACTTTTTATATTGTTAAATATTGTTGCTGGAGGAATTAAGCTCATCCTATGTGACATTGGAAAATGACTCCTAGAGCTTGTGCCTGGGTTTCCTGTGGATTTGCCCATGTGCCTTTTCCCTTTGCTGATTTTTCTTTGTTTTCTTCTCTGCAGTAAGTCATAAGTATCAGTCTATGCTTGGTTCTATGAGTCCTAGCAAATCACTGAACTTGGGTTGGTTTTAAAGACCCCCAGATATAAGTGATAACTTAGGAAAATGTCCCCACGGAGGAGAATCCTTCAGAAGGTTCAGTAATAGCAGGTGTTTAAGAAATATAGGAGAACGATGTCTATAAGAACATTGGCTAATTATTGCTAGGTTGTAATGATGTCCTACAGAAGGGTTGGGGGAGCTCTCAAGTAAGCCTTACCTCCTGCAATGGAAGGATTGAATCAGCTGAGCTTCAGGCTGAACATGAATGTTAAGCCAAGCCATATATACCTTGTAAAAGGCAGAGCGCTGGTGGGGAAAACCTAGAACCTTGAAGCATGCCATGGGTACATCTAGATGGATGCCCCTGAGGATAATGGATTCTGCAGTCTCCACTAGATCCTCTGGTCTTGTGGAAGTAGTCCCTCCTTCTCTAATAAGACCTAATAGCTTGTTGATGCTGCAAGATGCTGGAGAGGACACTGCTTGTGGTCTCCCCAAAGTAATACTTGCCCCCATCTATTCGGTCTGCTGGCCTATAACTAGCATTAAATCCTAGCAAAGTCTGGCTGGGATGTTCTGGGCCTGATGAGGGTGGAAAGTAACTACACTCCCCAAATACAAAAATTAGCCAGCATATCCTGGCCAGCGCCAAGGAAATACTCTTGGGAATAGATTTTGAGGGTATTTGATCAAGGACTAAACTCATTAAAAGAATTTAAATTGGACCAAAAATCTTGTTCAAATTGGAAAAAAATCCAGCAATGTGTTTTACAAGGAATATGCCTAAAACATAAGGACAGAGAACATTTGAAAGTGATAAAAGAAAATATTTTCTCTAAAGGAAAGATAATATTGAGTTACCTTAATGTAAGGTAAAATAGACCTTTAAGATAAAAATCATTAAGGATAAATTAAATTCCATTTACTACACAGTTAAGATAATTCTAATGTCTCACTATATACACTAATTTAAAATAGCCTCAAAATATATAAAGCAAGACCACAAAAAATTATAAAAATCCATCATTATAGTAGGAAATTACAACAAAACTTTTCAAAGGAGGAAAGAAATGTCCAAAGAAATCAGGAAAGAAGATTTGAAGAGCAAAAGTTTGTTTTAACCTTTAAGTTAAGTGGACATTTGGTTGTAAAATACATACCAATGGCTTCTAAGAAAGAAGATAGATAACAGACTGTAATAAGGAAAATTAGGTAAAATACAGAACAGACACTAAAACTAGGAATTCTATGCTTTGAAAAGAAAGAATCTGCAATTTGGTGAAATGCCATCAGGGGGCAGCAGATTCCAAGTGTATTAAGCCTATTAGACCTGTGAGGCTTTTTGAAAATCATTAAATAGTCCTTAGGAGGGTAAATAAATTGAAGATTGTGAAAGTTATATCATTTGTCCAGGGTCACACAGCTAGCTTTAGAACCAAGATTTATCCTCTCCTAATTCTGCTTTTATAAGCCATAAAGAAGGAAAGGGGAAATAAGATGGAATTGTTAGCTTTTCGGTCTTCCTCCCTCAATTATTTTTATTTTTCTTAAATGATATAAAGTTTGATGACCCTAGGTTTGATCCAGGGGTGATTTTTATTTTTAAATATGATAGAGCTGGATATGAATTTCAAGAGAAATAGTTTTGTTGTGGTTGAGTGACCGTAGAATCCAAACTGCAAGAACTCCCCAAAGTTGCATAGGACATTTCTGGATCCTTGAGAATAGCATTCCCCTCAGAATACTTATGGAATAAATTAACTCTTGCTATATGCATACTGAGTCTTTAGGGAGCCAGGGAGCAACAAGGATATTTGTGACCTTTGGAAAGGTGTCATCCTCATCATAGCTGAGGGCATTTTCACCTTTACCTAAGGTTATAACAAATGGGTTGCTACTTTCTGAAAACTTTTTTTCTGAAAAAACAAAAAAAGCTTTTAGTCATGAAAAAAGAGTAAATGCAAATACACAAAATGAGATGACGGATATTGGGCTTGAATATCTTAAATAAGTCAATGAAAAGGTAGAAGGAAAAGTGGAGAACTAGACTAGGAGGGTTTGAGCTAATTTCAAAGCTGGAACTCTTGCTACTGACAAGAGTGTGGACATGTGCAGGGGTGGTCTCTGTGGGGTGGAGGTTACTAGACAGTAACCGTGTGGTCAAGAAACCGTAAAGGTGACATGTTAGACACTTAATTCTCCAACATGATTACCAAGGAAGAATGAAACGAACTTGAACTAAGTGAAACTCCTCAGTGAATGGGGAAGATGGCTTGGGAGATACTAGGTGCTACAACCAGCAGAAGACTAAGTGGTAGAGCTAGGTGAAAGAAAAGCTTTGACTGGGGATGAAGGAGTGAGAATGGGTGTGGAAATGGTGTCTCAGGAGGAAGGTGTGGATTGCCTCCTGGACACAGCACGTGCACTGAGTGGTGAGAAAGGGCTGCCTGTGCTTGGAAAAAAAAAAAGACTAAAGGAAATAGCTTAGATGGTAATTCAGACTTCGGATTGAGCAGATAGAGAAGGAGCTAATATTTATTGATCATCTACAGTGTGCAAAACTCCATCATAGATATTAATACAACAGCCCTTTTCTAAATTATTTTCAGTTCAGAGATGAAGTAAATTTAGCAAGTATCAGTAATGTGCTTGAAATCATATAGTTAACAAAGATTAAATCCTAGTTAAACTCGGGTTCTACATGGTGCTAAAGCCTGTGCTGTTTGCAATAAATACGCTATTTTGTACCTGTTGAGGAGGCATCTTTCCAGCAAGATGGTGGAGTAAGGTAAGATGAAAATCTGTCTGCTGTCAATTCCTAGGAATGTCATGTAAAATAAAATCAGAATTCTTTTAAAACCCCAGATAATCTTACAGAAAGAAAGGGAAATGCCCAGGTATGGCAATCGAAGAAGAAACTGACCAAGCATGACAAGTACTTGAGCTGATGCCCTGGCAAGCTGTGCTGGGGTGGGGGAGGCAGGGGAGGAGTTTCATTTACTTAGATGCTGAAAACGTAACTAACCTCCATAAGGGGAGATAAGATCTGGGGCTGAGCATGGCAGTAAGTTGGAACCGTGAAAGGGTGGGCCTAAAAATAAGATAGAGACACAAAGGATGAGTGGGCCTTGGATGAAAAGTGAAATATCCTTTAAGATACTAAAACCCTGGGCCTGGGCCTGGGCCTGGGCCTCACATGGGTGTGGGGCTAAATTTTCAGTACAAGGCGTAGTCTAGAAACTCCCAATCCAAAAAATGTAAAAACTAGTGCAGAGCTTACAATACTCCTGGTATTAGGGTTGCCAGATTTAGCAAATGAAAATACAAAGCACAAATAGTTTTTTAGTACAAATCCATCCCAAATATTACATGGAGCATACTTACCAGTAAAAATTATTTTACTGATGGCCAGGTGCAATAACTCACGCCTGTCATCCTAGCACTCTGGGAGGCCAAGGCTGGTGGATTACTTGAGCTCAGGCGTTCGAGACCAGCCTGAGCAAGAGTCAAACCCTGTCCCCACAGAAAATAGAAAAACTATCTGGGCAGAAAAACTTCAGGTACATGCCTGAAGTCCCAGCTACTCAAGAGACTGAGGCAAGAGGTTTGCTCAAGCCCAAGATTTTGAGGTGGTTGTGAGCTATGATGATGCCACAGCACTCTACCCAGGGCGACTGAGTGAGAGTCTCTCTCTCTCAAAAAAAAAAAAACAAACCTGAATGGGCACAATGGAGGGACACATGGCACAGCTTTTAGGTGCAGGACATACCTACATGAGGGACTCTACTTAACCAATAGTGTAACTTGGTTGATTGTACCCTCACATCATTAACCTGGGAAAGAAAAAAGAAACACTGAATTTCAAAAAAATAAAAAAAAATTTAAAAATTAAATGAATTTTATTTTTCTGAAATTCAAGTTTAACTGACTATGCTGTATTATATCTGGCAGCCCAACCTAAAAGAGGAGATACAGATATACCTGACAAATGCAAACACAAATGCTGGGGGGCCTAACAGAGCCATACATGAACCTTTCCCCTCCTCCTCCTCAGACAAAGACACAAGATGTGACTGACCCTTCCCCGGAAGTTCCCAACAACCTCACTTTCTGGGCAAGCTGTGGAATTTGCCCATCCCCTAGGAGCCCCCTATAAAAGTGGTCTCTAACTGCTTCCTGGGCACAGATGACACTCTTGCACTGCCCAGGTGGGTCACCCCTTTCAATAAACCTGACCTGAGTATCTCTGCTTTGGCCTCCTCCCTGGGCGCCACTGCTTACATCTTTCAACAAAACCATTTAGAAAGGACACTATCATAAAATTTTCACAGGAAAAAAAAGCCCTGCTAAGGAAGAGAGCTTATCAAAAAAATTTAAACCAAGAAGCAAGTGGTCATGAATAAGAATCAATAGAAACAAGGATAATAGAGCCTCCAGAACTTCTGCCAAGGGCCAGGTGCAGTGGCTCACACCTGTAAGCTGATGTGGTTGGATTGCTCAAGCTTAAGAGTTCAAGACCAGCCTAAACAAGAGTGAGATCCCATCTCTATTAAAAATAGAAGAACTAGCTGGGCATTGTGGTGGGCCCTTGTAGTCCCAGTTACTCAGGAGGCTGAGGCAAGCGGATCGCTCAAACCCAAGAGTTTGAGGTTGCTGTAAGTTATGACGATGCCACATCTCTCTACCCAGAGAGACAGAGAGAAACTCAGTCAGAAAAAAAAAAAAAGGCCTTCTGACCATTCCTTTAATAAATACTGATTGAATACCATTGTAGGTCAGAGCATAGAACAGAAAAATTCTTTCCTTCCTTCAGAGCAAATGATCTAGTGGAAAAGAATAAGCACAAAACAAATTAAAATGTATACTTTTTAGACAATGGTACAATGATACATTGTAAAGAGAGAAAAGTTAAGCAAGAAAGTAGAAAATGTGTTATGGGAGAAGGCTGCAGGGTTTTTTTGGGTTTTTTTTTTTTTTTTTTTTGCAGTTTCTGGCCGGGCTGGGTTTGAACCCACCACCTCTGGCATATGGGGCTGGCACCCCACTCCTTTGAGCCACAGGCACCACCCTTAAGGTTGCAGTTTTTAAACAGAGACCTTCAAGAAGAAGACCTCATGGAGATTCCATTGGACTGCAGACTTGAGGCGAAAGAGCAAGCCAAGCAGCGGGGTAGGGGGAGAGTTTTTCAGGAAGAGAGAACAGCAAACACAAAGGTTTCAGGATGGGTATGTCCCTCACATGCTCAAGTAACAGCCACCAGGCTGGGGTGGGAGGTGAAGGTCTGATAGACACAGACTTGGCTGATCCAATACTGCAGCTACCAGCGACTATTTACGATTATAAAAATTTAAATAAAGTTAAAAATTGACCCCTTAGGTATCCAGCCTCATTCAGTGCTCAGTAACCACCTGTAGCTATTGGGCAGCTTAGAAAACATCTCCACCGTTTCGAAAGTTTTATTGGACAGTGTTGACAGAGCCTTATGAATCACTGTGTAGACTATGGCTTTTCCTCTAAGAGAAGTGAAGATAACAACATTACGGAAGAGAGTATATAATTAGTATGTTTCAGTGAGTAAGAGAAGAGATCAAAGCCCAAGAAAATACCAAGGCTGCGGGAAAGGGCAAATTAAAAAAAGAATCAATAGATCTTCTAGAAATTAAAGAAAAAGAGATTAAAATCTCAGTGGCTAAATTAAACAGATTAGATAGCAGAAGAGGGAATTAGTGAACTGGACTACAATATTAATACTTAGAGAGTGCTTCCTGTGGGTCAAACACTGCTTTAAAGCTTCATTTAATCTTCACAACAGCTGTAGGTTAGGTGAATAAGTACTGTTTTTCCCACGAGCAAGGAAATGGGCACTGAGGTTACAGCTTCTCATCCAGGCAATCTGAAGTCTGTGCACTCAGCCACGATGCCATATTGTCTTTCAGGAATTTACCCAGAATGCAGCACAGAAAGATAAAGAGATGAAAACCACGAGGGATTAAGAGACATGGGACAGAATGAGAAGCTCTAATGAACATCCAATAGGAATTCCGGAACAGAATAAAGAAAACAACTAAAAAGATGGCTGAGAACTTTCATAGTTGATACAGGTAAATCAAAGGACAAAGCTCGAGCAATAAGAATACCAATGAATTCATAGCCAAACACATAGTAGTGAAATCATGTAATATCAACGAGCAAAATCTTTAAAGCCTCTAGGGGAATTTATTCCTGGAACAGGGAAGGCTGGAAGCAGATCAGTAGCGGCAGACAAGAGATCTGTAGTGGTCTGTGAACACAGCAATGTAGGTGTGCCATGTGGCGCTGGGTGACTGCATGGGTTGTGTTTTGGGCAGAAAATACTTACTGGCAGGTTAGGGTGAGCGAGTGTATTCAATCCTAGCTTTCCATTAGTGGGATTCAACTGCTCCCAGGTTCTGAGGAGAGACTAGGCACGCTCTCTCTCATCTCAGGTTAAGTATGAGAACAGGGTGAACAATGATCGGTCTCAGAACTTTAATGAATGTAAGATGAGCATTTTAGGAGTAGTGAGGCCAACCTAGTGGCCACACTTAGACTGCTATGATTGGTCAGAGCAGGAAAAGGCCTTGTAGCTAGCTATTCATGGTATCTACAGTTGTGGCTGTGTGATTTCATTTTCTGCTAAGAATCCAAAGCAGTGTAAAACAAACACACAACTACCTCTCATTTCCTTTCTAGATACTTCTAGATTATAAATGTGAATGAAAGTTTAGATAATAATAATGTAACCCAGAGCAGGCTCTGTGTTCAGTGTAGTCTTGTCAGGGCAAACGTGTTTCAGCCACAATTGTACAAGTAACAGAATATAATCTTTGCCTCCCTGTGGGATTTGATAACACAGAAGAAACCAGACAATTAGAATTGTCTCATTCATGCCTTATCATATGCGCTAATGTTGCAAAACACCAAAAGGGCAAGATATTTTTCTGCTCTTATCCACTAGCTTAGGTTTAGCTATGTTGGGTTGATCTGGCCTTTCCACTCACCCACCCTGTTCTACACTGTGAGTCTACCTGATCCCGCCTGAGGAAGTGCTGATCCCAAACAAAGGCCCTCTGTTCTCCCTCTTTTGTCATTAGATCACCAGCAAGGGGAAGAAATTGGATAGATGAAGAAGAGCTCTTATCTATTGTAAAGAAGAGCTATGGACTAATATTTTTTTTATTTATTTATTTTTTCTATTTTTATTTATTTTATTTCTTATTTTATTTTATTGAGACACAGTCTATGTTACCTGTGCTAGAGTGCCAAGGCCTCAGCCTACCTCACAGCAACCTCAAACTGTTGGGTTCAAGCGATCCTCCTACCTCAGCCTCCCAAGTAGCTGGGACTACAGATGCCCACAACAACACCTGGCTAACAGACTAATGTTTTAACATTCAAATGCTACAAACAGCCCACTGAGGGCTTGCGTTAGAAAAACAGGCTTATTGTAGAATAACTTTGATAAATGTCCCAATTAATTCTTATCAGTAAGCTTTGGAAGGCAGCATGATAACACCATTTCAAACATGAGGAAACTGGATCAGTGTTATATACCTAGCCAAAGATTGCTCAGTTATTTTGTGACAGATAGGGGTCTGGAACCAAGGCCACTCTGACTCCAAGCCCATGTGTCTTCCTATATTCCATCTGCCCCTCATGGCCTTCAATAGTCCACCACGGAGGACACCAGTGACAGTCAGGGGCACTTTGACTTGGCAGAGTTTATTACAATTAGTATGCACATAACATGTAAACTCCACAAAGTAAACAGTTTATCCTCCACACTAACCAATAACCAACAGGGTCAGCAGTGACCCTCCAGCACCCTCGCTATTTTAACATATATACACTTCACAGAAAGTGATTACCATACACATACAGTTGTAATACATTTCTTAGGGAAAGGATTTTTTTGGTCCATATTTTCTGTCAAAAAACAAAGACACACTTTCCTTTTTGGTAAAAGAGGTTAAATCCCCCACAGTTAACTCACAAAGCAAACTCAGATTAAAAACCTGAACATGAGGTATACCTGGGGTCTAGGACTATTTTAGGATTATAGATATAAACTGGAGGGGGAAATCATTTCTCCCCAAATCAGTTCAGTTCCCATTCATCTCAGTAGCAAAGCTCTTTTTAGACTTGGTCTTAATCATTTCTGTTAGAACACATTTCAAATAACTGTTCTGTTTTTCGGAGGACAATTGGAAGTCACTAAAATGTGCTATTTCTGAAGAAACTCATGAAACGTGTAGTCATCTGACCTCAGCAAAATTTTCAATCTGAGGTACAAAAACACCTGACACAGCAAGTCACACTGCAATTGCTGGGCCACCTTCATTTCAATTAGCTGAGAGTATAGTTTCAGTTGCCCATAAGTCTCAGCGTTCCATTTCACAGGCAGTTTGAAAAGGTAGATTTGTATATGGAGGCTGCCTAGGACCTGCCCGGCCAGGGGGAGGAGAAAGCCAAAAGTGAAGGTCAAGTCCTGGAGCCCATCTCCTTAGGCCTAGCCAGTGGGGTCCTCTGCGAGAGGTGAGGCTGGGCTACCCACACCCAGCACTTCACATCCCCCTCTGAAGTGGAGTCTTAACAGGCAGCCTTGAGGGTGTTGTTTGTTTTTAAATCTACAAATCATAATTGCTAAACAACCACCCACCCTGGTGTGCTTTTCATGCTTCAAGTGATTCATGTCTTCCAAGGGAAGAATGTTAAAAATGCTTTTAGTTCTACTTATCAAAGGAAAGGAAACAAGCCACAGTAACAAGATGACATTTAAACAGACCTGCTGCTAACACAGTATCAGATAATAAATTGGAAAAAAAAATGAACATACTATTAAATACTTTTTGCAACTGCTGCACTTTCCCCCTTAATCTATGTGTAGACCTACAATCTGATAAAGCAAACTTAAGTTACTATAAATCTTGTTAAATAGGATTCTGTACAGATTGCACATTTTATACCAAAGCAGCTTAATATCACAGTTAAGGGAAATGAAAGCCATCCGAACATATTCCTTTTTCTAGTCCAGCAAACACCAACAGACTCTCACCCTAAGGGGCAGAACCAAACTAGTTGCACAGTTGTGTAAACAGCAGGAGGTGGTCTCCAGGACCCTACTGAATCTCACGCGCACCAGCACCCGCGCACACGAGAACCGCAGTCTCCTTCCTTCCAGTGACTTGCACAGCTGACGCTCAGTACCACAGCAGGTTTCTTTCACATTGGGTTCACAAAAGAGCAGTCATGGCGGTCAGGTTGAGGGGTTTGAGGCAGTCTCTGGGAGTTGAATAACCACCATTCATCCCAAGATTCACCAGTGGCTTCTGTGCGTCCCTGCTCTCCCCAAAGCAGCTGCTGGCTTTGGGCTTGTCGTAGCTGGGATTGGCAGGCTTGGCACTCTGCGGCATCTGGTAGTCTCCGGGGCAGAAGCCACCGGAGGACAGGGAGTGCTTGTGGCCCGGCCTGGGCCCGGGGACGCGGTAGCCGCTCCGCGCCGAGAACGTGTGGGCCCGCAGCAGGTGCCGCTCCACAATGGGCGTGGCGTACTCGGGCTCCACGTGGGTCAAGGGCAGCGCGTACTCGTGGCGGCCAGCCCGCTGAGGGCAGTCGTAGTGCCCGCCTGCCTCAGTGGTCGCCCCCGTCTCGGTATCTGTGTCCATGGGCCTGAAGGTGGAGCCCTTCCTCGTGACTGTGCCGGTGCCAATCATGAGAGGATGCTGGTAATCTGAAACCAAACGGTGAGTGCAAAACTGAGCCCTGGGGACCACACCAGAAGAGCTGGGAGGTTGCAGAGGGGATGCTTTACCTACGGCAGCGGTGCCCTGAGGTGTCCCAGGCACCGTGGGAAAGACGACATGTCCAAGTCAGCATAGAGGCCACATGTGTGCTTATGTAAGCACACTGCCTGCTTTAGTAAATCTCCAACGGTCACCTCAACCCAGAGAGGAGACGTTATGTTTTACCCTGGCGTATAGTGGAAAAGCCTCATGGAGGAAGTGGCTCTTGAGATGTTAAATTACCAGGGGGAGGTTAACAAGTAAGGAAAAGAAGGAAAAAACAACCCTGAAAACCGTTTGAGGTGGCCAGAGTATGGAGAAGTTGGTTTCACAGGGTACAAAGACCACAGCAGTAGGTCTCTACAAGGCAGCCGTGAGCGACTCCACTGGTGTGCCAAGGTGTACCAGGCACTGTGGAGGTTATAACTGAGTGTCTCAGGCAGTATTCTCAGATAGCAAGACAGTAATTAATCTTCAAAAGAAAAACCCCATGAGGTAAGGACTGTTACTCCATTTTACAATGGAGGCCACACAGTGGGGGCAATGTTGTCCAGATTCCAGCACACGTTAACCACGCACTACACTGTGGGGAAAGGGCTGGTTGTCTTGCTAGGAAGGTTGGTTACATCTGTAGAAAACTACAGACTGGCACACTTTGGGGGTAACCATGCAGAATGAAGAGGAAAAGAACAAAAAGCGAGAAATAGCTGGGTACGCCGGCTCACTTTGAGAGGGTGAGGCAGAAGGACTGCTTGAGGTGAAGAGTTCAAGACCAGCCTGAGCAATAGTGAGAGCCTGTCACTACAATTTTTATTTTTATTTTTTTAGCCAGGCATGGGGTTGTGTACCAAGAATCTCCAGCTACTTGGGATACTGAAGCAGGACGATGGCTTAAGCCCGGGCGTTTGAGGTTACACTGAGCTAAAACAAGGCCACTGCACTCTGGCCCCAGAAACAGCAAGATCTTGTCTCAAAAACAAAAGCAAAAGCTCTCTGAAGTAAAAAGCAAAGAGAAATACCCATAGAGGTCACCAACTAGGGGAATAAGAAAGGGCACACTTTGGGGACAGCAATCAAAGGAATGTGTTACCTATGACATGTAGAGTATGGGGAAAGAAGAGAGCCAAGCCAGGCAAGCCCAGATGAGACTGGGTGCACAGTCAGGAGACCACTTAGAAAGGGCCAGCACGGAGCACATGTGGGAAGATTTAGGAATGATGGATTCGATTTTGGACACTGAGGAACTGGGGACACTTGCCAGTAGAGGCAACCAGCTGGAAATGATGGATTAGAGACTGAGACAGAAGCCCAGGTGTGAGAAGTGACATGGATACCCATGCAAGGAAAGGCCCTGCTGAAGTCTCCCAGTGGGTGTCACCATTTAGGGGGGAGACTGTGGGTATATGGGGGGGAAGTTGAGAAGGACCTTTCAGGGGGGAAGGAGGAGAGGCTGTATCTGGAGCTGAAAAAAAAAAAATGAAATGAAAGAAAGAACAGAAAAGAGGTCGTCCCTTCACTTCACTCCCAAGAAACAACAGAATGGTTTGGAGATTTGCTCTCACTGTCCATGAAGTGGCTCGAACAACCTTTCCCACTTGGCACCTTTCAGTTCCCAAAGTGCACGTGCATGACCTGGGGAAGAGTCTGGCTTAGTAGGCCCAGGGCACAGCCTGGAAGCCTGCACTGCTAACAAGCTCCCAGGTGATGTGACAGTGCTGGTCCTCGGAGTGCATGTGAGCAGGGAGAACCCAGTGGGGTGCTACTCAGAGCGTGGGCACCAGATACCAACTTATCTCAGAACTGTTTGGAATAGCTCCACAAAGAGATAAGTCCAGAAATAGAGATTCTGTTTTGAAACAATCTGACAAAGTAATTTTATGTTCATTGAATCTAATAAGAAATAATGTAGGTCTTTTTTAAAAACTTCATTATTAATAGTAATTATATTTTACAAAAATATTTGTGCAGATAGATTAGAATTTTTTTTTTTTTTTGGAGACAGAGTCTTACTTTGTCAACCCTGGTAGAGTACTATGGTGTCATAGCTCACAGCAACCTCAGACTCTGAGGCTCAAGCAATTCTCCTGCCTCAGCCTCCCAAGTAGCTGGGACCACAGGCTCCCACCACAATGCCTGGCTATTTTTAGAGGCAGGTTCTCCCTCTTGCTCAAGCTGGTCTCAAACCTATGAGCTCAGGCAATCCACCTGCCTTTGCTTCCCAGAGTGTTAGGATTACAGGCATGAGCCACCATGCCTGGCCTAGAAAAAAAATTTTTTTTAAGAAGGAGCAAAAAGCAAAAAGTAAGTAAATCTTTCACCACAGACAGTTTGGGAAGCTTGACTCCAGATGATGGCTTGTTGGGGACACTGTGGCCATGTTAACCCTGGAAGAGTTCTTCATCTCTTCTTCCTCAAGGGCAGGAGCTGTATTTAATTCGTCTTTCTAGTCCCTGTCTCCTAATGCCTTAATCAAAACTTTGGTAATAAAAATTGATTAAGGGCTTGCAGATATTAGTAGCATTTCAGGGCTATCACTCTGGATGTCATTAGGTCCCCTACAAGTGTAGGAGACTCAGCTGAATGGGGCTTTTCAGTAATATCCCAGTGTCAGTTTATAACTCTGTGTAGCACACAAAAAAACTTAACACATTTCTGATTTGTTGGACCCTCTCTAAACAAAATGATTTTGTCTTATTTCTGTTTCCCTTCCCCTATGAGCGGCACCTCCGACCTAACAGCACAGTCCCACAGGTGTGACACTTACCAGCCATGTCACTTGTGATGAGATCTAATTTTTGTGCCATCTCCTTCTCATTATCATAGCTGATGGTGAACTCGGCAGACTGGCGTCTGGCAAAAGGATATTTAATCTGCTTCCAGCAGTCTGGAATAAAGTTAACATAAAACAAACTGATCTATCAGAAATGTTTTTTTTTTTCATTTTTTTTTTGAGACACGGTCTCACTATGTCACCCTCAGTAGAGTACTGTGGCATCACAGCTCACAGCAACCTCAAACTCTTGGGCTTAAGTGATTCTCTTGCCTCAGCCTCCCAAGTAGCTGGGACTGCAGGTGCCTGCCACAGCACCTGGCTATTTTTTGGTTGTTGTTATAGTTGTCATTGTTGTTTAGCAGGCCTGGGCTGGGTTTGAACCCACTGGCCCTGATGTTTGTGGCCAGTGCCCTACCCATGAGATATGAGTGCCAAGCCTAATATATCAGAAATGTAATGCACATCCCCCCATGACATGTTCCTCAATGAGTCAGAGGTCAGGCCATCTCTTGGCAGGTGACAGTGATAAATGTACAGCCATAGCTCTGCGGGTGTGCATGCTAAAGTCATTAATGACAGAAGCACATTTTATACCAGTGATTTTCAACCAGTGTGCTGTGGCACCCTGCTGTGCCGTGAGAGGCTCTTAGGTATGCTGTGGAAATTTTTAAAGATGATTAATTAAATTATTTCCAGAAGAAGTTCAAAGCACAGTATTCTTTTTTTTAACTCTTTTTTTTTTTTTGGTTTGTTTTATGAGACAGAGCCTCAAGCTGTTGCCCTGGGTAGAATGCTGTGGCATCACAGCTCACAGGAACCTCCAGCTCCTGGGCTTATGCAATTCTCTTGCCTCAGCCTCCCAAGTAGCTGGGACTATAGGCATCCGCCACAATGCCCAGCTATTTTGGTTGTACTGTGTTTCCCCGAAAATAAGACCTACCCCCAAAATAAGCCCTAGCAGGATTTCTATGCATTTGTTAAATATAAGCCCTACCCCAATAATAAGACCTAGTGATGGGCGTGGCTATGCAGATACATACCATGCATTTCAGCCAGCAGTAAGGAAGACTGGAATACCTTTTATCTGCCACAGCTCCTTTCTCTGAGCTATTCGCACTTGAGTGGGTGCATGTGGTAACCACGGTCACAGGCATCCTATTGTGCACATGCGAATGGCTAGGGGAAAGGAGTTCACGCATCACTAGCACCAGCCCCACCAACAAGGTTGGCTCCCCCTGTCAGGTTCCAGAAGATGATGACGTAACTGTATTTGAATAAATGTAGATTGTTGTATTATACATAATAAAAATAAGACATCCCCTGAAAATAAGCCCTAGTGTGTCTTCTTGAGAAAAAATAAATATAAGACAGTGTCTTATTTTCGGGGAAACACAGTAGTTCTCATTGTTGTTTGGCAGGTTTGGGCTGGATTCAAACCCGCCAGCTCTGGTGTATGTGGCTGGTGCCTTCCTGCTTGAGCTACAGGCGCTGAGCCTACTCTTTCTTTGGATCCACCTAATGTAAGTGTGTCATGGAAGTTGAACTATAGGTTCAAGTGTGCTGTGAACACTGCTCTATACCAACTATGCTTTTCACTGGGCCTTTAAAATCTATTATGTCCCCATAAAGTATCAGATTCTTCCTATGTGTGACCATCTGGGCACGGTTTCCCATGATCTGAACACAGCATCCATGACACAGAGGAGACTACCAAGTCCCAAGTGGTGTCTGAGACATGCCAGAAGCCCCACCCTTCCCCTCACTCTGAACCATGCCTAACTTGTTGCTTGAGCGTCCTGTGGCTCTCTGAAACCTGCACATATGTGTCTTAAAGGCTCTCTGAAACCTGCACATAAGCACTGTCTGGTGCTTTCCTCACTTTCCCACAGTGGAAAATCCAGTGAAGGCCCGCAGATGCTGAGAGCCCTGGACCACATTCAGTTCCCACATGGGGCTTTTGCAACTTCTCCTGATGACTGACAGTGTAGTGGCCTAAACTCCAGTGGCCAAAAGGTAAAAAAAAGAATGTTGACAAATGACGGGGATGAAGATAATGTTGAACAAAAGTCAGTTGGCCATGAAAATTCAGAATTAAAATAATGAGACAGGTACAATAAAATCCCTTCCTTGCAGAACTGCTAACTTAGAAGCTATAGAGCTTATGTTTTCTTAATCAAATGAAGTGTGAGCCACCAGCCTCCTCACCCTTTCAATCAGCAGACCCTGCCCCATCCTCAAAGACAGGATAGAACTGTAGATAGAGCTTTCAACCAACCTGTTTGCTGAGCCTCCGTGGATCCATATGGATTTCCTTTCTTCTTCTTCCTATGAAGACAAAAAGTTCTAAATATTTATAAGCCAGTATATCTGCCTCTCTCTCCCTATATAATATGAGGATCATAATAGTACTGATCTCATTGGGCTGATATGAGGATTAAATGAGACAGCTGCCAGGTGCTTGGAAACCCATATGAATATGTAGAATTATATATAAGTGTATCTCACTTATAAGAGAGGTGAGAATGTTTTCACTAGAAGAATATGTACTAATTTTATTAGAAATCAATATAATATTGTTTTATTCTCTCTCACTAGCTCATGCAGTCCACAAAATCTTAAATCAATTCCTCATGACCACATGCTCTCACTTTATCTTTTTACTATACTAAAACTGTGGGTGTTCTTAAAACCATTTAACACTAACACATTACCCTAAGACATGCTTTAATCTATGAATATTAACCTGAAGCTTAAACACCAGAGATTTTAGACCTTTTCTCACTTTGATCAGAAATGATTCTTCCTTCTATTTGCACTAACCCACACATTTATGAGTTCCAAAGTTGTTTAAAATATAAAAAAAGAAAACTGAAAAATACTTCTTGCTTTTGTTTACAGTCAACACCTAACATTTGTTAAACATGGAGTTTGGGATTCTGGAAGAGACTTGGCACTTAACCAGATAAATTTTATTGTATACATGAAAGACTGAGGCTTGGGGAGATGAATGACTGGGCTGCTTGATGAGATGGGTGAGACCAGAACTCGGGCCTCCCCTAAATCCCCATTCTAATACTCCTTCCAGTTTGTGGGTGGGAGAAACATGGATACCTCAAAAGAAATATATTGGTTCCAGCAGCCTCAAACTCTTGCCTTAGCTTCTTGAGTAGCTCAGATTACAGGCCTGCACTACCACATCCAGCTACTTTTTCTATTTTTAGTAGAAAGGGGGGATCTCGTTTTTGCAGAGGCTGGTCTCGAACTCCTGAGCTCAAAAAATCTACCCACCTCGATCTCCAGGAATGCTAGGATTACAGGTGTGAATCACCACACCAAACCACCAGTTAAGTCTTTATCAAAGGTTTCTAGATGACAAGAACAGCTTATAAAGTAATATTTGATCATTTCTACTCCTACCTAACATGCTTTTGAAATAACCATTAATAACTGGATGTAGTGGCTCATGCCTGTAATCCTAGCACTTTTGGAGGCTGAAGCAGGAGGATCACTTAGGAGCAACCTGGACAACATAGCAAGACCCCATCTCTACAAAAAAAATTTAAAAATTAGCTGGGTGTAGTGGCACATGCCTGCAGTCCCAGCTACTTGGGAGGGCAAGGTGGGAAATTCATGAGCCCAAGAATCTGAGGTTGCAGTGAGCTGTAATCCAGACACTGCACTCCAAGCCTGAGTGATGAAGTAAGACCCTGTTTCTATAAATAAATAAAAAAAATAGAATAAATATCTGTTAACATTTTCTCTTGAAAGAGGTTGTGCTGCTTTTCTATACATGGATATCTGAAGAGTAGATTTTTGTGTGTCAAATTTTGATTGTTTGCAATTTTAAAATGTAAAGTCACGTACTTTCTAAAGGATGCAAAGATCCCCATTCCAACAATCAGCAGGGCGAGAAAGACCACCAAGGGCACAGCCACAGTTGTCACCTTTATCATGTTTATTCCTAAAGAAGGAGGAGAACAACCTGTTATGACATAAATGACCAGCAACCAGATTTCCCGATCCAAACTGTATATTGACTTGGAAAGTCCTTAGCTATTTAATACATGGGGAATATGAATACATCCTAGACATTTACTGACATTAGAAAGCAAAAAGAAAGGATTCAAAACCTGGCCAATGTTTAGAAAAATAAAATGTATCTTCCCCTCCTCTCCCAAAGGCAGCTTCCAGTGTTCCTCAGAGATTATCATTTACCATGAGCTTGTTGCTTGGCCTATATTAGATTCCGAACATCAGAATCAAAGGCCCACCCAGCCAGAAACTATTCAGAAAGGTAAATGATTTAAGTACAGTTTGGAGCTACTATTTTGGCTCAAGCAACCAGCTTCCCCAGACAGTGGGCAGGTCGGGGCCTGTACCCTAACAGCAGCCTGGGGAGCCCGAGATTCTCATCACCAGAGCTCTGGGACTGCAGACCAACAAGAAATGCAGCCTTATGACCGCAAAGAGCATTTCCACCGTATTGCACGAAGCACCACACCATGTTCTCCTCCAACCCTTTCTGCGCTAAAAAGGGAAGTCATTTTATCAGTCCCTGAATCAGGCTCTGTGTAGAAACTATGCAAACTAAGGAGAAATATTGACTCTTTACCTTTCTGTGATCCCTAAGAAGAAAATAAAGGAATGACCAGAAGTAGAAAAGTGTAGTTCACAAAGAGGAGGAAAATGAATTTAGATGACAACAAACTTTATGTAGATAACAGCAAGGTTTATTTACAAGAGTGAACATTTAGGAAAAACCTAACAACTTAGACATCTAACAGGAGGGGAATGGTCCAGATATTAATCATTACGTCTGTCAACGAATAACACTGGAAAATGCTCATAATCGTGTACAATGTTAAATGAAAAACACGTGCCACAGAGCAGAATATATGACATGCTGCCATTTTTGTCTTTAAGTTAGAAATGTAATAGTTGACTAGATACAGTGGGATGTGGTGGTCATCCACAACTGGTGATTTATGGATGATTGTTTTTCCTTATTTTATATTTTTCTAATCTTCTCAAATTTTATCAAATTCATATGTCAAGTATTTTATCTTCTGAAAAAAGAAGTGTGCTTTTTATGTTCATCATTTAGACAAAGTATACACTTACATGTGCTGAGTTCAGAAAGTATAAAAAGGTAGGGAATGGAAGGTTTCCCTCCGACCTCTGCTCCTCCTCCACAGGAAGCCAAATTCTATTTCTTGACATTCTTCTAGATATACCAGAATGAATATTCATTCTTTCTTTCATTCCTTCTTTTTACACATGGTAGCGTGCTACACAGATTTGTTGTATACCTTCTTTTTTTTAGCTTTCTATATTACTCATGCATTTTCTTTTATGGCTACAGAGTATTCATTACCTTGATGAGCTCATATTTTATTTTTCCATGTATTTACCTCATGTTTGAAGGGCATATCAGTTTGTTTCTAAACTTTTTCTACTTTACAATAGTGCAATGAATAGCTGTGGACATCTCTCTCTCTTTTTTGTTTCTTTGAGACAAGAGTCTCAGTTGCCTTGGGGTTGAGTGCTGTAGTGTCATAGATCACAGCCACCTCAAACTCTTGGGCTTCAGTGATTCTCTTGCCTCGGCCTCCCCAGTAGCTGGAACTACAGGTACATACCACAACGTCTGGCTATGTTTTTAGAGACACAGTCTCACTCTTGCTCAAGCTGGTCTCAAACTCCCGAGCTCAAGCAATCTACCTGCCTCAGCCTCCCAGAGTGCTAGGATTACAGCCACCAGACCCGGCCCTACATATATCATTTTACATATGTGAAAAATACCTCCAGACCATCTGCCTCTTGCATTTATGTGACAGAGAAAAACAAATTTCATTGAAAGTCACTATTGAGATGTCAGTTATGCTTCTTAAGAAACCACAAAACAATAATTGCTCTACCTCTGGGCTGTTCCTTTGAAGGGATGAACTTTGTGATTGTCTCATCTTTTTTTTCAGTTGAAACACCAGTGTTGGGACTTGTTTGTTGCCACACCAATGAATCATTACCTGAGAGAGAAGGGATGTCGAAAAAAATCACATTAGTGACAACAATACATAAAAGGAGATGACCAACTTGAGTAACTCACTGACTTGCCTTGGGCCCCACCTTGTGTAATTTGGCAACCAATGAGCTCCACTTTCAAGGCTATTCTCTGGTGCCATGTCTTGGGGACAACCCGCACATATCTGGCCACGATGGGAGGGATGAAATTGTTCTGCACTGGGTCCTGGAAGTTGGAGTTACCCTGAAACACCTACAGAAAGAAGTTACTTTTACCTGAAGGTTCCTTTAGTTAATTTTAGGTTTTTATCATCCCACTCGTATCTGATTATATGAAACCAGAATAAAGATTCTATGTCCATTGCAGTTTTGTAGACACTCTTGATACTGAAAGACAAGCTTGGCTTTGTAAACAAAGGCCAAGTTATCTAACTAAGATGGTGCTGCTAATCTGTTTTCTCCTTTAAATTTCAGCTTGGATGAAGAAGCTAACATTGCCCTTTTGTATCACTTGGCCTTGATATTCCTACGTTAACCTGGTGCTACTGACAAGCAACCTCAGAAGCACAAGTCTTCAGCTCTCACTTCTGCTGTCCCCTTCGTAACTCTCATTGCTACCACACTTACACCGAAGCAACCCCCTGCAAGCTACCGACTTTCAGTTTCCAAGAAAATGACAAGTGTCTCACTCCTGAATGAGAAAAGAATTAAATCACAACAATCTCATAAGGTTTTTATTGGTATATTTCTTATATGCTCAAGGAAGCACCAGTATTGTCTTTTATTAATGGCATATTTAACGTAAACACGCAGATGAAAACATACAGAGGCCTGCTGTCCTCCTACTCATTTCCTTTCCCCAAGAATTTCTCTTACCTTTTCTTCATTGTTTATAGTTCCCTTATAGGTCCTCCACTTGGAGTTATTTTTGAAGTTTATCACGAAACTCTTAACATAAAAGTTGAAATTTGATTGTGTTGATCCAGCAGTCCTAATTCCTTTTAACAAAACATGATTTCTAGGTTACTTTTATTTATAGGTTGAGTTTTTTAAATGTTATATATAATATGTATTATAATTTCAAGTGTTCCCCCCACCGCAATCCCATTGGAAATCTCAGATCATTTTACAGGCCAGCTTTTAGTAGCTGCATTCAGAAACCCATTCACACATCAGTGTCTTCATGCTGACAGTACACTGTCCATAATGGTAAGGTTTCACCATATGGTCTCTAATCTATACAGCCACATTTCCAACCTCTACACGGGTTCTTTTCACAGAGACAATGTGAAGATTTGTTGTATTTTAAAAAGATTTCAAGTACTTGGAGGGTGAAGAGAGGGGCCCCTAGGTAAACTGAGAGCATAATTCCAACCGCAAGTCCTTTCGCAATCATGTGATTTTTCTGCACCTGTTATTTTCTTTTTCTCTCCCAAATCTATCTCCAGCCACTCTCGTTGTCTGCGGTTGCTGCTGCTGTCTCCTGAGGCCCACGATGGGCCTTGGTCCTGAAGTCGGGCTTGGCCAGGAGACCAGTGAATTTGTTCCCCACTCTCATTGACCCACTGCCAAGAGGAAGAAGCTCTGATTTGCTTGTCAGGTTCCAGACTCAAGGATCTGCTGCAACCTAGGAAAAAAGGCAGTGAAACATTTCAGATGTGGGCATAAAGTGAAGGCAAAAAAGACACTCGCTGCATTTCTTTCCATTCCGGTATCAAATCAAGTGTTTATCAGTTTAACGGCCTGGGACTTGATTCATTTAAGCTACAGTATCTTGAAATTTCTGCTGCTTTTCTTTTTACTAGACCCCAAAGTCATATCTCCTATAAGTGACACCTCTTTGTCCCCACTGTAGATTTTCTTTTCTAACCCTCTAAATTAACTCTGATTTCAACAAAACACTCTCTGCCTTGAAGGTTTAGAATGCTGAATTTCTCGCTTTAATGAATTTAGAATCAGAGGGGAACTCCATCCTTTCTGTACCCTTGAAAAGAAGATATATCCAGGTCCTTTGAGAATGGGTAATTTGTACCCTACTTTGATCCTCAGGACTTTACTTGGTTTTACGGTACTCCTCCATTTTTCCATGGACTGTTCTTCCCTAAGACTCTGGGTATTTTAAGGCAATGATAATTTGGCTAAAAACAGTAATTAAAAACAAACAAAGAGACCAAACAAAAAGATAACTCTTGGGTGGTGCCTGTGGGTCAATGGGTAGGGTGCTGGCCCCACATTCCGAGGGTGGCAGGTTTAAAACCTGGCCCTGGCCAAACTGCAGCAAAAAATAGCTGGGCGTTGTGGAGGGCGCCTGTAGTCCCAGCTACTCAGGAGGCTGAGGCAAGAGAATCGCCTAAGCCCAGGAGCTGGAGGTTGCTGTGAGCTGTGATGTCACAGCACTCTACTGTGACGATAAAGTGAGACTCTGTCTCAAAAAAACAACCAAACAAAACAAAATAAAAAAACCTAAGGCTTGATAAGTTTGTCATGAATCAAAAGAAACAAAAAACCTCCTTGAGACCCTCATGAACCTTATGAACCATCTTCTGAAACACACATTTAATTTCTTATTATAGAAGAACATGCGTGATGGACCCAAGCGACCCTCCCTGGGAATGCCACAGGCAGAGCCAGCCACAGGGCACCCTGGCAGCTGCCAGGAAAGTGGTATGTAGGATGGCCCGGATTTGTGCTCAGAGGCAGGCTGGTAAAACAGGCTCCAGAAACGCTGAAGCTGCAAACGCTGTGAGATGTGTTTTCTCAGTGCAGTCCAATGGCAGGTTTTGCCCTTGCTTACTAATTGTAGTAGGGTCACTGTACAAAATTACAGAATTTTCAGGGCCATTTTCTTTGAAAAGGAGAGAAATTAGCATTAAAAAAGGATATTCCTGGACTGTGCCATTAAAACCATAGTCACGTAACAATGTAAGTGGTATCCCTGGAGAGTTTGGTCTCTGGTTCCCAGACAAAAGTCAGTGACAGATGATAAATGAAGCAGGCAGATTCCTAGACAAAGGTGTGGCTCTCCTCGGGGGCTACAGGACCCAGGTCAAGAATCACCTCAACACTGGAGCTCGTGAACCACCTAAGCCACTATTTCTCTCCAGACAAAAGATAGCAATGATTGAAACGGAATCACAGTGCACATCTCCAGGGAAGTATTTGGGGGAAGGAGGAAGAACCAATAGTTTTTCTCCTTTAAGCTTATGGTTATATTAGTTAAATACCTAAGTGAAACATTCTGGGTGTTATAAGCTTTTATACGCTTTAGATTCCTTCTGAATTCTATCTTGGCATACAAGGCAAGAAAAAAAAAAAAAACCAAACAGAAACCCCTTCTCAATAATTTCCACCAAAGAAGCCTCAATCATAAATTAGAATGCACTTCTAGGGTGTCTGTGGCCCCAGACAGCTCTCTACAAGCTGGAAATTTCCTTGAAGGCTTTTATCTTTAAAAGTCCAAGAATTTCGTCTTCTGCCGTATGTCTGAGAGACGTCGTAAACCATTTGTAAAACAGAGACTGCTTCTGCTGTGCTTTTCCCTCTTTGAGGTTGAAAAAACTCAACCAACTAGACATAAGGATTCATTCTCATTGCAGTATGTCAGATAAGGATCATTCTAAAAAATAATCACACAAATGTGCTATGATTAGGATCAAAGCACTCAGTATTATTTCCCACTTTTCCTAATTCTTTTGTTCCTAGTGTAACATAAATGTTAACAGTCGGCTTCACCTCATTGTCCTTGTAAGTCACTGACAATGGTCAAAAAAAATACTGGGGTGAAGGTGGAGGTACAGGAAATGTAAGAGAACAATTCTGGAACTTGCTGGTTTTCCTATAGTGCAAATCATTTAGCAGAATACAACCAATTTGGCTGCCTACAGTGAGACTCCTGTAGCAAACTGGTTTCTTTCTGTCACTGGCCATCACGCCTCCTCTGAGCATTTTCACTAAGAACCATGTTTTTAAACTTTAAATTTATACCAGTATTCTATAAGTCGGTGATTTCTCAGAACCCTTCTCAGAATCCCCTGGTGAGGAAGCCTGGAGAAGTTACCATTTTTTCTCAAAGTTGACCTTTGAGATCTTGACGGGCCTGTATCTGGGTCCTGCCAAGACTTCTCCAGCAGGTTTTCAGGGAGTCCACCAACCACCCCAAACTCTAATCACTGAAGAAGGTAGCTTTGAAGGGAAAACCAGGATCAAATCTCTTGCAAGATCAGTAAAACAGAAATGACAGTTCCTCTGGGGTCTACATAAGTGGTGGTGGTTGAAACAAACTTCTGAGTGAATTACAATCTCTAGGTTCTTTCTGGTCAACAAGATAGGAAATGGAATTATTATTATCTTTTTTTTTTTTTTTTTGCAGTTTTTGGCTGGGGATGAGTTTGAACCTGCCACCCCCGGCATATGGGGCTGGCGCCCTATTCCTTTGAGCCACAGGTACCGCCTAGAAAATGGAATTTAACCAGAAGGCAAGTGAAGGCTACATGATCACCTGATAGTTTTAAAGTTAAGAATTAGGATCTTCAGTATGAATTCACAGCCTCCCCTTTTCACTGTCATACATAAAACAATGTTAGATATCTCATATTTTAAATTTGAGTGTATTGGTGTGACACAATTCCTAAATCAGCACCTCCTTTTTCTCAAAGTTTAAGCTATTTTCCTGTTTTATATAACTAACCTCCCATTATTTCACACCATAAATATAGAAGGGGGGCTCAGAATCAGGAACAAAACATTAATTTTCAATGTCTTATACAAGAATTTTAAATTTAAAGAGATGTTATTTAACAGACTCCTTCCTTGAATCAAGTTCCCAGTTTAAAAAGTAATGGTGTTCAATCTGAGAACAGCTCAAACTAAGTTAATCAATTTTCTATTATCTCATGCACTCAAATTTCTCTAAAATTGTTTCCTAAAATAAGGTGGCACTTCCCATTTGAGCCCTTTTGAAGTTTTATGTTACATTGACCTCTTTGAACAACTAAGAACTGTTCAGGGAAGACGCTTGAGTTTGAGTTTGAAATAACCTGTGACCAATCCAGGTTAATGTAAAACATCTACCTAATAAAACAGTGAAAAGCAAAGAAATTTAATGCAGACTTCATTCTCATTCCTGAGGTAGAATCTATGAACTCTCAATTTCTAATGCTGGAAATTGTTACAAGCAAGCCTTTTAAAGATTATTTTTTAAAAAGGGATAGTATTACCTTTGCCAAAAATGGATAATCTGAATGTAATCAACAGGAACATGGAAGCAACCCAAATTGATAGGCATTGTAAAAAATAACTGTTCAGGACTCTAAAAGGTAAGGAAAGACTGAGGAGTGGTGACAACAATGCTTCATGACCCTAGTGAATTCTACATGAGAAAAGGGACATTAACATTTGTTTTGAATAGTCTGTTACTTCAGTCTCATAAATAAAAACCCAGAATTCCCCCACTTATACTAAAAAATATGTATACTAAGCAAAGTATGATACTTACTGATTTTTTGGCCAGCTTTAGCATGTATGCTCTCAAAAGTCAATATATAGGTAATTAATCCAAAAAAATCATGTAAGTTTAAAAGTGAAATTCATGTTTAAAAATATCTCTGAAAACATTTTTTCCTTTTTTTTAGAGATGGAGTCTCATTCTATTGCCCTCGGCAGAGTCCTGTGGGGTCACAGCTCACAGCAACCTCCAGCTCTTGGGCTTAGGCGATTCTCTTGCCCCAGCCTCCCAAACAGCTGGGACTACAGGCGCCCACCACAACACCCGGCTATTTTTTTTGTTGCAGTTTGGCCAGGGCTGAGTTTGAACCCACCACCCTCAATATATGGGGCTGGTGCCCTACTCACTGAGCCACAGGGGCTGCCCAACATTTTTTTCTTAAAAACATATATTTTTTAAAGTGAAATTGTTACATTTTCAGCATTTCTATTTTCTGGTTGTTTCAAGAGTATTTTGAAAAGAAGAGTAAGTATCTTAACTCAGCCATACACACATAAATACAGTACATTCTTCTAGTTGATGCTTGAATTATAATACATGATAGACAGATGAATGATAATCTCACCTCATCTATTTTGGCTCTCTCACTGTCACTGAGATCAAAGGCTTATTTTTTCTGGTTACTGTGCAAGCTGGTGTAGGTATTCACGTTTTTTACAGTGCATTTTGTTACCAAGAATGTGGATTATAAAAATGCCCAAAGCATATAAACCAAATATTTAAAATGAAATTGACATGAGGGTGAACCATTAAAAATTAACTGCATAATGATGAAAACTATACAACTTCCACATATTCACTGGGGTTAATATAATCACATTCCAGGTATGGCCATTCTAGCACAGCTTATAAACACTAATGCCAGAAAACATTATTCTTTTTCAAAACATACCTCCATACTCAAAATTGTGATAGTTTTGACTCTAAAAATTCCTTGGCAGTGGGTTTTTAACAATTAGTTGATTAATGAAAATTTTCAAGGTGGATAAACAAAACGATTCCCCTTTTTCTGCCACACATATAATCATTAGAAGCTCCCATACATGGGGATTGTAGGAGGTATTCCAAAACATGCATTACTTCCCTGCTGAATTTTAGCCAGCATTCCCCTTTACCACTGGCGCAGCATCACCGTGGATCCTTGGGATC